CTCTGGTTTCTCAGTTCTTGGGTGTGGCCCTCCTGAGGTTTTGGTTAAGAGCCTGGAAGGTCTCTCTCTCCTCATGCCCAAAGGCTTTGGTCTCAGGACATTCTGAACTTTGATTTTGAACTTAGGACACCACAGAAGTTCAAAATCTGGCAAATGTCTTCACAGGGAGATTGTGTTGCAGGCCCCTTTCCACTAGTGGGATTTTGGTCCTCAGCACTGCAAGACTGCAGGAGATTTCATTCTGCCTTTTTGGGTGGCCTCCTGTACTTTCTGAGAACTCAGTAAACATCCCATGAGGCGAACTGACTTTGGATTTGGGCCTTGAGCTTGGGCCTCCTCTAGTTTCCAATCCATCACATCAGCCCCAAATGACAGCCGAGACGTCTGCGGTTTCAGTTTCCCCCAGGGTGTCCCTGTGCTTAGGGCCAGCCTGATCCCCAGCCTTTAACCACCCTCAGAAAAGACAACCGCTAGTGATCACCTAGGAAGGAGCCTTCCCTCTTTGGAATTTTACTCCATCTAGTCCTCGTTGCTCTCTAATGTGTTTAAAAATACAATTATTTTATTAATTTAACTACCAATTTTGTTTTAGTTGTAATGGAGCGTTGCCTATTGTGACCTATTATATCCTACCCAGAAGCAGAAGTCCTATTTGCCAAATGTGAAAGAAATCTAGCATTCACAGTCCTACAATGGACAAAATTTGGGAATAGATTTAAGATGGTGGATGAGGAAGAAGGAAAAATCAGGTATGACTCCTAGGTTTCTGGGCAGCAACTGGACAGAGGGTAGGGTAATTCACTAAGGGATCACAATGGTCTGACATGGACAGGTGGAAGATCACGGCAGCTTTTTTTTTGGAGGAAGATTAGTCCTGAGCTAACATCCGTTAGCAATTCTCCTCTCTTTACTGAGGAAGACTGGCCCTGAGCTAACATCTGTGCCCATCTTCCTCCATTTTACCCATGGGACGTCTGCCACAGCATGGCTTGATAAGTGGCATGCAGGCCTGCACCTGGGATCTGAACCCTCCAACCCCAGGCTGCTGAAACAGAAGGCCTGAACCTAAGCACTACGCCACCAGGCTGGCCGCCACGGCAGCATTTTAACACAGAATCTTTCATAGGTTCCCAGTTTTAGGAACTGAAATAAGGTAGTGCAATTCACCAAGATAGGGACCACTGGAAGGGAATCTAATTTTGAGGGCAAAATTGTGAGTTTGGTTTTAGATATGTTGAATTGTAAGTACTTTTGAGACTTTTAAGCAGTCAGCTGGATTTAGAGATTTGAGTCTCAGAGGAGGAGCTCACGAGAGCTGGAGATATAATTTGAAGAGTAATCAGCATATAGGAGGTAACTGATGTCATGGGTGTGGATGAAGCTGCATGAGTTGAGAATAGAGAGTGAAAAGGAAAGAGAGCCTAGGCTGGAGTCTCGAGGAACGCCAATATTAAACAATCAGGCAAATCCTCTTCTTTGATTTACATTTCTTCCAGTGCACCAAAATGTCAAAGGATTCTTGCAGATTATTCCCTTTTGCTGGTTAGTACACTGTATCAACTATCTTAGGAAATCTCTGCCTATTATTCAAAGTTTTCACCAGCAGTTCTCCATTGTTTCTGGAAATTCTGTAAAGGGAATCCACAGATCCTGTAGAGGTTTAGACATTATTTTTCAAAGTGCGGTCAGGACGCAGTCAGTGGGTCATGAAATCAAATTAGTGGGTCCTGATTAGTATTTTTTAAATGTGATAAGTAGGAGGGAAAATACAGAGTACATCAGATGCAGGGGCTGGCCAGGTGGTGTAGTGGTTAAGTTCATACGCTCCGCTTGGGCAGCCCAGGGTTCGTGGGTTCTGACCCGGGCGTGGACCTGCACAACGCTCCGTCCCACGTACAAAATAGAGGAAGACTGGCACAGACGTTAGCTTAGCGACAATCTTTCTCATCCAAAAAAAAAAAGTACATCAGATGCAATAAGCATCTACACCTTCTTCCTTGGTGAACTTAACCAGTCTCACGGCTCAAAATGCCACGTACAATTCCCAGATTTATCTCTAGCCCAGGCCTCTCTCCTAAACTCCATGCCCATTTAGACATCTCCACTTGGATGTCTACTAGACATCTCCAGCTGAAATATGAACCCCTAATCTGTCTTCCCAAAATAGCTCCTTCTGCAGCCTTCCGAGGTGATGCTAATTTCATCCTCTACCTTTGGCCCCATAGGCCTGACTTCCTAGAGTCACTTTTTACCTCTCTCACTTTCTAACATATTGTATCCTTTCTGTCAGGAAATGCTATTAAATCTACCATCAGAATCCAACCACTTCTCATCACTCCCACTACCACCACCCTGGTCCAAGTTACCATCACCTCCTCTCTCAGCCGCACTAATGCAATAGCCTCCCAACAGGTCTGTATTTCCCCTCCTGCTCCTCTGACAGTCTATCCTCACCACAGCGGCCAGGGTGATCCTTTAAAACAGGGGCCAGCAAACGTTTGTAGAAAGCCTGAGAGTAAAGTTTTAGGCTTTGTGGGCCAAGAGGTAAAATTGAGGCTATTACATAGGTACTCACACAAAAGAGAGAAAATACGTTTGTAGAAACTTTTTATTGACAAAATTCAAAATATAATAATAATTCAGTACAACTTTTTCATAATACAGGTCTACTAATGAGAAGAACGGATTTTTTTTTTAAGATTTTATTTTTCCTTCTTCTCCCTGACACCCCCTGGCACATGGTTGTATATCTTTAGTTGTGGGTCCTTCTAGTTGTGGCATGTGGGACATGGCCTCAGCATGGCTTGATGAGCGGTGCTAGGTCCGTGCCCAGGATCCGAACCAGTGAAACCCTGGGCAAACTTAACCACTCGGCCACGGGGCCAGCCCCTGGATATTTTTTTTAATAGATACCATTTTGCTTAACTGGAGTTCAAAGCCAGTGTTCCCTATCACCAAATCAACCGCAAATGTTTCTCTGTAAAAACCATTCTTAGCTGATGGCCATACAAAAACAGACAGTGGATGGATTTACCCTGCAGGCTACAGTTTGCTGACCTCTACTTTAAAATGAAGTCAGATCATATCACTCTTCTCTCAAAACCCTGTGAAGTAGTTTCTTATTGCTGTGTAACATATCAGCACAAATTCAGCAGGTTAAAACAATACCCACTTATTATCCTCACAGTTCGTAGATCAGAAGTTCAGGCAGGCTCGACGGGATTCTCTGCTTAGGGTCTCACAAGGCTGATCAAGGTGGCCACTTATATGGAGGATCTGGGGAAGAATCCGCTTCTAAGCTCATTCAGGATGTTGACAGAAGCCAGTTCCTTGCAATTGTAGGTCTGAGGGCCCCATTCCTTGCTATTAACCAGGAAGCACTCTCAGCTTCTAGAGGCTGCCTGCATTCCTTGCCATGTGGTCCCCTCCATCTTCGAAGTCAGCAAAGTGCATTCAAATCTCCTGCTTTGAATCTCTCTGACTTCCCTTTCTGCTACCAGTTGGAAAAAACTCTCTGCTTTTAAAGGTCTCACCTGAATGGGTTAGGCCCACCCAGATAATTGTATCTCAAGGTAAATTTATTTGGGATTTTCACTACATCTGCAAAATCCCTTGAAAGCAGTGCTTAGGTTAATGTTAGATTGAACAACCAGGGGACAGGAACGCTGGGGGGCCCACCTTTAGAAATCTGCCTACCACACCTTGCAATAACTTCCTCCTCAGAGTAAAAAGACAAGGCACTTACAAGGGCCAGTAAGATTTGTGGCACCTGCTCTCCCACAACCCCTGTGCACATCCTATTACCTCTGTGATGTTATTTCCTACCACTGTCTCTGGCTTACTCTGTGCATCCACACCGGCCTTCCTGCTGTTGCTTGAAGGTACCAGACACTCTCCTGCCTTAGGATCTGTGCCTGTATGCCCCTCTCTCAGATTTCTACTTTGTTAACTCCTGTATCTCCAAGACTTAGCTCTACTTTCACTTTTTCAATGAGACATTATCTTTTTTTTTGGTGAGGAAGACTGGCCCTGAGCTAACATCTGTTGCCAATCTTCCTCTTATTGCTTGAGGAAGATTGGCCCTGAGCTAACACCTGTGCCAATCTTCCTCTATTTTATACGTGGGTAACCACCACAGCATAGCTTGATGAGTGGTGTATAGGTCCATGCCTGAGATCTGAAGCTGTGAACCCTGGGCCACTGAAGCAGAGTGTGCGAACTTAACCATGACACCACCAGGCTGGCCCAGTGAGGCATATCTGACCCCACTACTTACTACAACAACCTGCACTCTTGCTCCTGGCACCACCTGTTTCCCCTACCCTGTTCTTTTTTTCCTACTGTACTCATCACCTTTAACATGTTAAATACTTATTTATCATGTTTATTGTCCGTCCTTCCTTGCTAGAATTAGCCTCCTCAAAGGTAAGAATCTTTGTCTATTTTTTGTTTACTGATCTATTTTTTTTGTTCACTAAACATATAGCACAGTGGCTGGCACAAAATAGGCAATCAATAAATTCACTGAATGAAGTTTGGGGAAGCTCCTGTTTCAGTTTTCTATGTATGTGTGCACTAGGTTGCGATGTAAAGTATTCTTCTTACTGAGGAGTGTAGTCAAGAGAGCCTGAAAACCACTGGGATTAGACTATATGACCTCTAAGGTCTTTTCCAAATACCAGCTCTCATGAATTTCTATGTGCAGCTAATAAATCTCCACTGTATCCTTTGGGATATGGCAGGGTTCGCAGCCTAGTGACTACAGCAAGGTGCTGACTATTGAAACATAACATTGACACTGCAAAAGCTAAACAGCATTCCTACCTGTTCTATAACAGCTTAGAGAAAATGGGGATGACAGCAAGGATTGCTGAATGCCCCAAAATATTAAAATCTGAACCTAATCCTTCCATTAAAAGAGATATAACTTGAGAACAAATGACAAAAGAGAACATTTTGCAGATCAAAAATTTCCCTGGTTAAAGCTTCCTTTCACTTACTGAAGAAGTGAAGAGGAGTGAAGAAAGATATCGCTCAGAGTCTCTGCTTTAGAAATTGTGACCTGAACGGACTTCGGAAGCAAAGCCCACTTCTCAAGGATGTATGATTTCCACTCCTCCACGGGCAGATCCATGTTACTTTAGCCCTATAAAATGAAGAAGAAAATAAGGCATTCAGATTTCCACAAATGCACTATTCTAGAAAATCAAGATTCCATTCAAGCCAGCATGAAACAACAAAATCCATTCTCGTGGTCTTTTCCTACAGTTGTTTACATGCGGAGGAAGGATCTACACTTTCTCACACCAATTCACTCAGCATCCTTTCATTCAGAAATATCCACCCAAAGGCTGCTCTGTTCCAGGCACCACTAGGCGGTCAGCCGGCCACGATCCGTGTCCTCTTAGACCTCTATCTACCTAGCGCTCAAGTCAGAAACCTGAGAGACAGCCCAGATTTTCTTTCTCACTCTGCCCAACAATTAACTTAACCAGCATTTCTCTCTCTTACACAGTTCCATTGCTTCTTTCCATCCCCAGGTCCTTCCTTCAGTTCAAGCCCTCACCATCTCTCGTCCGGCATTCTTTCTAGAACGTCATAACTAGTCTCCATGTCCTCGGTACCCCCACCCTGCAATTCAGTCCATCTTCCACATTGAGGCAGAAGTCAGTCCTTTGCCTTAAATTCATCAGTGCACCTCCCGGCATAGCGAAGCCCAGTACAAACCCTTCATTATTGGACCCTTGGCTTACTTCCTAATGCTCAAGTCTCATTTCTTCCTCTGTATCCTCCCATCCTGAACTACTGAAAGCTAACCCCACCTTACCAGGCTATACATCGCCCTAGTTTTTGCATAGACTATTCCTTCCTCCAGGAGCATCCCAGCCCTCACGTGGAGTCCACTTGGCAAATTTCCACACAGCCTTCAAGACTCAGTTCAAATGGCCCCTCCTCTGGGAAGCCTTCCCTGATTTTCCGTGATCGCAGCATACTTTGTGTCTCTCCTGGAGTCCATTCCGTGTCTACCTTGAGTTAGGGCTACTCACAGAGGAAAATCCCTCGACAGACTGTGCTCTCCTCTGAGAGCAGGGACCGGGGCTTATTTACCTTCAGAGACCCCCACTGTGCCAAGCGCAGGGTGTGGCACCGGCGAGAACGGAGCACTGGGTTGCTGGAATCAAGTCACTTCTTTGACTACATTTAGCAGCAGAGTTCTCAAGAAACAGCTCTAATCCTCCGCTGGGCACCAGCCGGTCAGCCCGCCTCGAGCCTAGCGGCTGTGCGTCCGGGGCCCTCTCCGGCGGCTCCCGGAACTGGTCCAGCCGCGCGCTTGGCGGCATTCGCGTCACTCCGCGCGCCCCGGGGCCCGGCGCCCCGCCCCCAGGCCCCGCCAGCCTGTGACCGGGCCCGCAACCCGGGCTCGGGCGGGGCACGTAGGCCGCCCGCCGCGCATCGGCCAATGAGAGGGCTGCTCTGCCCGTAGGCCCGCCCCCTGTGCCGTGCGCACGTCGGGAGGCGGTGCACGCAGCATCTCGGGCCAATTGCTTTGGAGCGCGCCGGACCCCGGGAGCCAAGTCCGGGCTGCGCAGGAGCCCGAGCGCGGGAGTTGGCGCGTTGGAGCCATGGTGGGCTACCTGAGCGAGGGGGCCATTGCGGTGAGCAGACCCCGGCGGGCCGGGGCGGCTGTGCGCCTGGGGGCGGAGCGGGTGGAGACGGGGGAGAGGAGCTGGGGGCGATGGGGAGACAGTGCGAGACGAGAAGGTAACGGGAGTCGCGGCGGGGGGGGGGGGGCGGTGGCGCGCCAGGTGACTTCCTGGAATTAAAGGATTTTTCCTGTCGTCTTTTAAACATGCTCGTGTTTTTCCTGCTTAAGAAAACGAAGCAAAACAAACTGTTGATGTTCTCGCATCTCCCTCCCGCATCCTCTCTATCTCCTCCCCTTCCCCCACTCACAGCCCAACTTCTCCAGACTTGTCTGTTTCCACCTGTTTGGTTTCTTCATCTCCCGTTACCCCCTGACCGACTCCAGTCGCTCCCTCCTCTGATCACTATAGAAGTGTCCTTGGCTCAAGTTAGCAGTCCCTCCACGTCGCTAAATCCAACAGACTCTTTTCAGTTTTCAACTTAGCAGCGTTCTCAGCAGCGTTTGAGTCTGTTGAGCGTTTCTTCCTTCTGATAGCATCCTCTTCTCTTGGCTTTTGTGGCTCAGCTTGGCTGGTCGGTCTGTCTTAGCAGGTCCGTCTTTGTAAATTTTTGTTGACTCAAGGCTCTGCTCTAGGCCCTCTTCTCCCAAGGCTACCTCATTACCATCTGTATGTCACTTGCTGACTAATGTCTTTGTCCGGAGCCACCCTTACTCTGAAAGACAGACCTTCATCATCTGTCTGCCTACCTGATATCTCAAAGGCGTTTTAAATTCAACATGTCCTAAAGCAAATACATTATCTTCCTAAGTTGGGCCTCTGTTCCCTATCTGGATGAATGGCACCGTTATCCGTTAAGTCATGCTAGCCAGAAATTGTGGAATCATTCTTCCTGTAAATTCCATCACCCTGGATGTCTAGTCCATCACCGAGTCCGGTGTGTTTTACCTCCACATATATCTCTTAAATCCGTTTACTTCTTTCTGTCCCCACTGGCACCATGGTTTCTTGCCTGGACTACTCACTTCCCTCGAGTATAACCATCTTCCTACCATTCCCATCATAGCGTATTCCCACTTGTTCTCTCCCCCTTTCCTGCTTTTTTTTTTTTTTTAATTTAAACTCCTAGTATATTCCATACTCTTACTTGCCACAGGGCTTTTGAACATTCTTTTCCCTCTGCCCACTGCCTAGGTGGTTCTTTACTCACCCTTCACTGGCCAACAAAATCTTCATATCTCAGCTCAGTTACTTCTCAGAGAAGCCTTCCTTGACTTCCTTTAGTAGGCTAAATCCCTTTATTTTGAGACCTTAATTCCTGTTTGTTCACTTCTTAGTTGTGTGGCTTTGGGCAAGATACTAAATTCTGCCTTTCCTCTTCTGTAGAATGAGGGTAATGATACCTAGTACCTCTTGCCTAAGGTTAGTGGGAGGATTAAGTGAGCTATTACATTTAAAGTGCTTAGTCCACTCCTGATACAGAGTGTTTAGTATATATCGTCTATTATTGGTAATCACAGATGTAATTTTACATTTATTTGTTGTTTATTTGATTAATATCAGTTACTTTTTGTCTCCACTGCTGGATTGTAAATTCTTTGAGACCCGAAATTATGCCTGTTTTTTGCTTAGCATAGTCTCATACCTGGAGCAGTGCTGGCAAGTTTGAGGTGCCCAGTAAGTGTTGGCTAGGTGTGTATGAGGTGTTGAAAAGAAAGGGACAGAGATGGATTGGGAAGAACAGTTGCCAGAGTTGAGTGAGTGAGTAAATTAGGAATAATTAGACCTGAGAAGTGATTGCAAATTGTAGTCCTCATTTACTTTACAGCTGCTACCTTATGTCTTTAAGACAAGTTAGGAATTACTCTTCACTTTTAAAAAGAAGGATCATGGTGTTATTTAAATAATTTGATTGGTTTTTGCCATGTTCAAAATTTTGGAAACATAATTTCCAGTGTTAGGTGACATATTACTTAGATTTTATTTATAAATGACAAAGAAAATTTTTGTGTGTGTTTGTGGTAACAGAGTGTGGAAAACCATTGTCAACTTTGATTATCAGCTAAAGCGAGTAGAATTATTTTAGTTCCAAAGATACAGGCCCAAAAGGGTAAGCAACTAACACACAAATAGTAGAGGCATTTTGGGCAAGAGCTAACATCATAAAATAAGGGGTTATGCATGGAACTATTGTGGCAAATAGAATAAATAGCATTTGTCTCATAAGTAATTGGGTAACATAAAGAGGAAGGGAACTAATATTTTTGACTATTTCCAGTGTGCCAGATACCTTATAATAGTCACTACTTACCTTGTAAGGTAGATTTTTATCATTACCCCCATCTTACAGATGAAGAAATTAAAGTGCAGAGAAGTTTAGTTTGTTGATGGAGTGAAGATTTGAACGCATGTGCCCTTGACTATTACATTCTGTTGCTTTGTATTTTTGTTAGCAATGTTAATTTGGAACAGTGAAGGTGGTTTTGTCTGAAGTGTACATATCATGCTGTATGTCCTAGAAGAGTAAATCTTATATTCACTATTTATGATGACACAACTTAAATTAAAAAGAATAACAAAGTAACACATACGTGTGGTTTTAAAATCACATAGAACAGAAAGGTGTTTGATGAAATTGCTGATCTTCTGCTCCACCTTGCCCCAGTTCTGTTCTCCACAAACAGCTGCTTTTTAAAATCATGTTTATGGAAGTTCAATTTGATTTACATATAATAAAAACTGGAATATATGTAATGAATATGTATGATAACAAGTATCCACTCCTGTAAACAGCATCACCCCAGTCTCCTGCTCCTTCCCCATCCCCTGCCCCGCCTCCCATCACTGCTCTAGGTTCTGCTATCTATCTCTATAAGTTAGTTTTGACTGTTCTCAAACTTCATGTAAATGGAATCAAACAGTATGTACTCTTTTGTGTCTGGCTTTCTCTCAGCAAAACGTTTTTTGAGATTTATCCATGATGTTTCAGTAGTTTGCACCTTTTTATTGCCAAGTAGTCCATAGTATGAGTAAACACAATTTATTTCCCTGTTGTTGTTGAACATTTGAGTTATTTTCATTTTTTGGCTATTATGAATGAGGAGGCTATGGACATTTATGTACATGTCTTTTTGTGGAAATATATTTTCATTCCTCTGGAAATTCACTCACCTAGGAGTGAAATTGCTGGGTCATGGTAACTGAATGTTTATTAGAAATTGCCAAACTGTTTTCCAAAGTGGTTATGAGAATTATAGTCACTCCATATCTTCACCAAAGCTTAATTTTGTCAGTTTAAGTTGAACTCTTCTAGTAAATGTGTAGTGGTATCTCACTGTGGTTTTAATTTGTATTTGATAAAATTTTAAAAATCGGGTTATGTTCTTATTAATTGGTTGTTAAGAATTCTTTATTTAATCTGGATATGTCTTTTGTTAAATATGAGTTTTCTCCCAGTCTGAAAGAGGCTTGCCCTTTCATTTTTTTAATGGTGGGTTTTTGAGGGTTATTTTTGAGGAAGTTTAGCCCTGAGCTAACTGCTGCCAATCCTCCTCTTTTTGCTGAAGGAGACTGACCCTGAGCTAACGTCTATGCCCATCTTCCTCTACTTTATATGTGGGACGCCTGCCACAGCATGGCTTGCCAAGTGGTGCCATGTCCGCACCCGGGATCCGAACAGGCGAACCCCGGGCTGCCTAAGTGGGACGTGTGCACTTAACCACTGCGCCACCGGGCCTGCCCCTAGTGGTGTTTTTTGAAGAGCAGTTTTAAATTTTGATGAAGTCCAGCTTATTTTTTCCTTTTCTTAATTGTGTTTTTGTGTCTTAAGAAATCTTTGCCTACCCCAGGGTCACAAATCTTTTGTCCTGTGTTTTGTTCTAGAAGTTTTATAGTTTTAGTTTCTATTCAGGTCTGTAATCCATTTCAAGTTTACTTTTTTACCTATTGTGTATAGATCATTTTTTTCCTGTGCAGATACTCAGTTGTTCCAGCACCATTTGTTGTAAAGACTATAAAGTTTCATTGAATTACATTGTTGCCTTTAATAAAATGAATCTATATATGTGTGGGTCTGTTTCTGGAAATTAATCTATATACGTGTGGGTCTATTTCTGGAGTGTCTATTTTGCCACTGCTGTATATGTTGATGCTTACACCAATACCATATTGTCTTCATAACTGTAGTTTTTTAGTAAATCTTGAAGTTGGGTAGTGTAAATTCTCTAGCTTCATACTCTCAAAATTGTTTTACTGAATCTAGATTCTCTGTACTTTCGTATACATTTTAGATCAGCTTGTCAATTTCTGATAAAGCCTGATAGGATTTTGAGTGATAAAACATTGCCTTTATAGATCAATTTGGGGTCAATTGACATCTTACAAACATTGAGTCTTTGAAACCATGGATTTGGTATATATCTCGTTTATTTAGGTTTCTTTACTTTCTCTCAGTGTTTTGTAGTTTTCAGTGTGCAGGTCTTGCATACATATTGTTAGACCTAAGTATTTATTTTATTTTTGATGGTATTAAAATAGTATTTTTTGAAATTTCATTTTCCAGTTGTGTGTTGGTAGTATATAAAAATACAATTGATTTTTGCATATTAACCTTATATCCTGCCAACTTGCTAAATTGACATAGTAGTTTTTTGTAGATTCCTTAGGATTTTCTATGCACGTGATCATATCATCTGCAAATAAAGATAGTTTTATTTCTTCCTTTTCATCCTT